TTAAACTATGATTAATTTTCAGTAGCAGGGATGAGGCTCCCTTTTCCATTGAGAGTCATTGCTTTAGGAGAGGTATGATGATAAAATTTCAGAAGGTTGACAAGATTAGGTTGAGGGCAGTTTGTTAAAAAGATGAATGTGAGTGGTTTTGCTATGTGGGAAAAATGCAGGGGGGTGGTGCTTGGCAAATTAAGAGCTATAATCCAAATCATAAGATGGTATGTTAGGATTTGAACACAGTTGGTTTGTATGAGATGTTTTGATTTGTTTGGATTTGAACACAGTTGGTTTGTATGAGATGTTTGATTGTTAGATTTGAACCCATTTGGTTTGTATGAGATGTTTTGATTTGTTTGGATTTGAACACAATTGATTTGTATGAGATGTTTGATGACTCTTTTAAGTTATTGAATGTTGATATTTGAATTTCTATTTGAATTTCAAGTTAATGAATAAGCTTCTTGTTTTTAATTATGTATATATAAGTTCTATAATTGATCAATACATACAAGGTACTTGATGGAAGCCAACCAACATTATTACCAAATTACCAAATTCACCAAATTCAAGAATTATTACCAAATTCACCATTACAAGAACTTCTAACAACTGAAAATTCATCATTCAAGAACTACTACCAAATTCACCAAATTCACCAAATTCAAGAACTACAACCAAATTACCAAATCCATCATTACAAGAACTCCTAACAACTGAAAATTAACCATAAACAAAACATTACAAACAACATCCACATACAAACAAAACATTACATATACCCCATTTCTATGCCAATTTTCATGACATTTATGGCAATGAACAGAAGTATGACCATAAAGACTCCAACTTGCAACTTCATCCTCTTATTGTACATTGCAATCAAACCCTCCAGTTTTATGCTTCTTTCCTTTGCAAGTTCACCTTCTAGCTTGTTCAAATTTTCTTCTTTCTCTTTTTAACAAGCCACTTCACCTTCAACTTGGTTCAATATTTGTTTTTTCTCTTTGAAGCAATCTAATTCACCCTCTAGTTTGTTCACTCTCCTAAGCAGTCCGGGGATAATCATCTTGGATCTACCACATATTTCAGGATCCAACCACTTGAATACACCACATTAGGTTGATTTCTGTAACAAATCCCAAAACTTGAATCAAAAGAACGCATGTTACCCCATAATTTGTTCAAGCTTGAAATAACAAATCCAATATACAGTAATTAACAAATAAAGGAAAGCATTTTACCCCATAATTTGGGCAAGCTTGGTATCTTCTCCCTGGATTGTCTGGCGTCCATAACGTAATCACTGGCAGACGAAATCCACATTTACAATTGATTGTGTAAAATGTTGAATGAGCATCAGAGCTCGTTGAGGATGAGCTCCGACAGCCAAAATTAGATCCTTTATTCATATTTTATGCTAAATCGAAAACATTGAGGTGAAATCAACACTACAAGTACACTAATTACCAAAATCGAAAATTGTTCAAAGATAACAGCTTTGAGGAAACTTACCAAATCGAAAATTGTTTTGCAATTGTGACGCTTTAACTACTCGGACATTCAAAAACTTGAGAAGACGATTCTGCTATTTTCGAATTTCAACTCAATTGAAGGATTCAAAATGGGGTTTTAGGGCTTGGATTTACGGGTTAATTGGGGATATGGAGAATTAGGGATTTTACAATAGAAATAGGGAAGGAGAATGACGTGTCGCTCCACATCACGTTTCGTCGGCCAAGTAGGCACTGGGTGTTGAACAGCTCGACATTTAACGGCCACATAGACGTCACGTGAGCCACGCGTGCAATTTCCGTCGAAGTTAGTGATACGCGTAAAACCTACGTATGAATAACCGCAAGTGTACAGTATCGTGTTTTGTAGAATAGTGAATTCCAGATATCGATCCACAGGGAATTAAGTTCCTAAATTTACCAAGTACCGTAATTATACTATCCTAAACTTTATCTAGAAGAATGGATGGGAGAAATGAAACTAAAAAGAAACAATAAACAATAAAAACAACGGTCCGCCAGGAAATGCGAGGAATTCCGACGTGTGATAGCTTTTAGGGTAAAATCCACCAGTGTACTATCGATAAAGATCTACAGATCCGAATCTAATGCCAATTCTATGTTCGCTAACCCAGACACTAAAATACCCTAACCCCCGTCTCCAGTGTAGTTAGAGTCTACCCACAGGTCCGACGTCTCCGTTCAGAACCTGATATTAAGAGAGCATTTAGGTCAAGTCCTTAAGGGCTACCCGAGGTGCATCACGTCTCCGTTTCCACAACCCGAGCTATGTTTTCCTAAAATCAAACGAGAAATCCTCTCTCGAGTTCATTCCCATTTACAATCAATTCAACTGTTGGTCAAACAATCGAAAGCATTTAATTCAGGAAAACATAAACAGAATCAAAGAACGACAAATAGATCACAGATCTGGAAATCAAAATCAATATATACAAGGTTTAATTTCCCTAAAAGAAAATGCTTAGTTCATTACAAACATAGCATCCAAATGAAGAACACGAGAAATCATAAACTAAACGTAATGAAAAGCTTATGCAAAACCCGAGTCGAAACCCTCATCGAAGCTTCCCGCGAAGAACTGGCGAGAACCGAAGAGAAAACCGAAGAAAAGATCGAGAGATAATCGAGAATTGGTCGAGATCCTCTAAAATGAATAAGAGACCTTCTTCTATTTATAGTAAGAAATCATTGAAAAATATCTCGTCTCGAATTTTGTGCCCAGATCGCGATCTGGGCTTCTTGGATCGCGATCTGGCAGCCTTGGAAACTGCGCACCGCCTTTCCAGATCGCGATACGGAATGGTGGATCGCGATCTGGTTCTTCATCAAAAAATGTACTGTGAGACCCCCTTGATCGCGATCCAGGAAGGCTGGATCGCGATCTGGATCCGACCCCAATTTTCTCTCTGTAAGACCCCCCAAATCGCGATCCAGAAAGGCTGGATCGCGATCTGGTCTTCTGCGCCAACTTCAAACACTGTTTTGACCCTTTTCTAGCCTAAATTTGACAATTTTTCATTTCACAAAAGTTGTAGATATTGAAGTTAGCTAACTAAGGCCACTTGAATCAGCTCAATCGGAGGTCGTATGCAAAAGTTATGCTTGAAATACGAAACAGTGCCACACCCGCGATAATGCACTTTTGCACGTGTTTGGTTTGATTTTCGGCTTCGCTTCCAAAATCGTTTCGAATCGGCAAAAATAGCTTCTCTTTACCTAAAATATAAATAAAACAAAAACAACATAATATATACAAATAAAGCCGAAAACTCGGACGAACGAAGACCAAAACTCGAAGAATTGATAAGCAAAAATCGTGCAAAACGAACACTTATCAGTTAGCTGCCGACGTTAACGGCAGAACATAAAATGATCAAAAGTGGCAAGTTTGAGGACATATTTCGCGGATTGAAATGTTTGGGGACATAAATTATTTTAGTGGTAAAGTTTAGGGCATAAACTGTAATTTTCCCTCCAAATTCTTACAATGATGTAAAATCAGCCATTAAGTATGGCAGAGATAAAATGACTTTGAATACTATTATAAATGATTTGAAAAGTAAAGAACTTGATTTGAAAACCAGTAAGAGTCACAAGTCTTTGGGTAAAGTTAATTTTGTGAAAAATAAGCCTAAAAACAAATTTTCAGACAAGGCGGCTTCTTGGGGTAATAATAAAAAATTCTCAAAAACTTGAAAAGCTATTTCACAAAAATACACTTATCATGGGCCAAGAGGAGTGCATGGGAGATTCAGTTTGTCCGTTTTCGGTGAACTTAAACGATCAAACTCTGATCAGAGGAGATTTTTGTAATCACACAAATATGGGGTATTTTCATAATTAGGCATTATCTCAAGGGGTTTCTCGCAATTTACCCCTTAATGTAACAGTAGAAAAATTCAAATCACAACAAATAGCTCACTCTATTAAGAGCTAATAAGTAAGCAACAGTTATTTGCAGATAAACTTATTTTAGGCAAGAGAGCGTCGTCTCTCTGTTACGACAAAAATGCTCTCGTCGTCTCCTTCTCTCTACAAGCTAAACAACAACCTACATTCTCCATCCGCTAAAACTACAACACATCTTCGTTGTTTCTTACATTGAGAATTCCCCCCCTCGTAACAACCCACATAGTCAGTCTACATAAGGGGGGAAGATATTACATGTTTTTTTATCGACGTACACCATCGCCTTAAGTAATTGTTTCTTCACAAGCATTGCTCGATAATGTTTTAGGCTGCCCGTTGCAGTTATGGTGTTCCGCCACTCTAGGGGAACACAGCAACTCCCTTTGGGATTCTTCTTGGATAGGAAATGTGTGCGGGGGGGTGTTGGCTCTAACAAGTGCTGCATGGAACTCTTCGTGATCTAAAGGCTTCGCGAATACTAATCCTTCGTTTATACATTTAATGGGGCCAAATATGTGAGACTTCTTTCTTTGCACCTCGTCTTTAACCGCCTAGATGGAAGTCGTAAAGCATATTTATCAGCCAAAAAAAACAAAAAAAATAAAATTAAAAATATACAGAGTACGATATAAAAGATACCTTCTATCATCAAACAATTCAGCAAATGAGTCGAACTAATTCAGATTAATGAAACCTAATGATGCAATTGATGTCATACTGTTGCACTTCTTTGTATCAAATCATCCAACTAGAGATGAATCACCCAAAACAAAAAAAACAAAAAAAAAAACAGAAAAAAAAAAAAAGAAAGACTTTCAGTATCTTGTTTCAAATTTTCCACCATTGTAGCCCTCGTAATTCTCCCCATTTATTTATATTTTCTTTTTCTTATATAAGCTGACTTTAATATTCAAAAATATCATCATATTTACATTCTAGGATAGATAGATAGACAAGTATGGCAATACGTTCGGGCACTCGACGAAAGACTCAATAATAGAGTTTATCCACGAAAACAAGTCCCATAAGAGGATAAAAAGAGGTATCCATCGTCCGTGTATTACAATGATTTGATAATTATGACAGTGTGCTAAAAGACGGGCCCTAAAAATTTTGAGTGGCTGTTGAAAATTCTCGATTTCCTTTCGAGCTATCACATTATGGAGTCATTTGTTTCACCGGACAACTAAAGGACAATCTGGTCAAAAGCCCGAGAATTCTTATGACGTTTCGTGTACAAGTTTACTATTAGGTCTTTGTTTTCACGTCATGGTTGTGGCGGGATGGTTTTATTAGCTCGTTTAAATATATACACTCTACGTTTTGCCTCTAAAGGGCAATATAGAATTTTCTGAGTAGAGTGGTAAAGTGTTGTGTATTTAAAATGTTCAAGTTTTGAAGAAGAAATAGTGGATCGAGGCCATCCTAATATTATGTTGAGATAGACATCAACTTGTCGTTTAAACAAAACTCTGGAGAATTTAGTTTGCGGTTTTAATTTGTTTCGGATGGCAAAATGAATATTTGTAACTTCTACATAACAAAATCAAAATCAGACCACGTGCGGTAACTAGTGAAAGTTTCGATAAGATACCTGAACTCGACCTGAAACCATCGTTCTTCCTAAAAGACACAATCTTTAGATATCCCTTTACTTCAAGGAGCCAACAGTACCGACTCAGCATCTAATAATAAACGCAATAAAGTGCTGCGCACAGCAGAAGTCCTAATCTATACGCGGCTTGAGCAAAGAAGAATACCAAACTCGTAAACCATTGTTGTACAGCATAAAGAATATATAATTAGACGAGAGCAACTTCAGTTCTTTATACAACATGCACCCAACTATTATTACTCATCGTATGTCAAACGACACCAACTGCAAATCAGTTCGTCAATTCACGATTCCGATTTTTAGTCATACCAACACTTTTATCCAGCTATCTCAAATTAAATTAAAACATCAGACAACACCAAACACCAACCAACAGTTCAGACAACAAGAGCACCGAATCCAAATAAAAGAATTCAGAAGCAAAAAAAACCAACCTGCAACAAGCTCGAATCGAACTTAGGAAGCCCAACTTGCCCCACAGTAAGCGATCCGAAGAAGTTCCCCAACAATGCAGCATCCGGCACCGACAAACCATGCGCAAGCCCGGAAACGAGACCGCCGAGAAAACTATCGCCAGCACCGGTTGGATCCACCTGCACCGTCGGAAAGGGAAGAATCTGCTGCTCCACATTCTTGTAATAAAAAGTGGACCCATCCTTCCCATTGGTCACCACCACGCAGCAATCCCTCCTCGCCTCATCGACGTCGACGTACGGCGCCTCGTCGGAGGATGCTTTGAGGAACCCGATCCTCGGGAGCAAATGATGGAACCCTGAATCCCTCACGTGGACGAGATTCACGGTTCCGTCGGCGGGATCGAATACCCGGATCAGCGCCTGGATGTCGACGAACACCGTGTCGCAGATGTCGAGCATCCCCTCCAGCGTCTCCGGCGAGATTTCTCCGGCGACGCCGACCGCGAGGCCGAGCTCGAAGCGGTGGTTTGGGCGGGGGCGGGGGAGATCGGAGGGGGCGATTGGGTCGCACGCGCGGACGCGCTTGAGGACGCGGTCGTGGCGCTGGACCCGGGAGGAGAAATGGGCGTGGAAGAGGGTTGTTTGGGAGGAAGGGGAGACGAGGGGCGGGTGGGTGACCGGGTAGGAGAAATCGGAGCCCACCTTGGAGACGAAGGTGCAGGGGATTGAGAAGCCGTCGAGGACGGCGGAGATGAAGGAGGCGGCGCCGCCGAGGGACTCGGCCAGGACGAGATCGTCCTTCATCAGGACGTCGTGGCAGTAGTTGCCGACGACGAGGCACCGAGGGTGGGGGTGGTCTTGATTTTGTCCCATATCTGGGTGGATTAGCGTAGTCGATGAAAGGGGATTTTGTGGAACGCCATGGATTTGCAACTCGGGGCGATGCATACAATATGGTGACACGTGGAAGTAAATAGAAATGAAGGGAATAAGGTGGCGTGGTGGTTGAGGTGGTGGTGGTGGGGGAATCGGAATTTGTGCTTTTACAGAAGAGCGTGGGGTTCTGCTCTCTCTCTCTGGGGGAGGAGAGAGAAGGTAGGGCCGTCAATGCAGGTGTTGTACTATATGCTCGGTAGGAGTGCTAATTTTAAATTGAAATCCTTTCTACCCACTTTTTTCTATAATTTATTAAAAAAAGTAATTTACGTTAGGCCCGACGGAACATCAAAGTGAATTGGCGGGACTTTTATTGAAATTGGCTCATTTGCAGTGGTTTTTATTTCAACTTTTTTCAACTTTCTAAAAAAACCTCAAAACGCTCTCAACTAAAAAAAGTCGAAAACAAAGAATCTCGTGTTTGTTTGATAAATCGACTGTCCGACGACAACAAATAACATAATTGCCGATTCAGATGACTTCTACGAGATAAAATCGAAGAAATTAGTGAAATTTCTATTTTTTCGCGGTATTTTCGTGTTGTGCAGCACGAGAACCCAATTTTTTTGGGTTTCCCGTGCTACACAAAACAAGAAATTCAAAAAAAATAAGAACAATCGTGTTGTGGGGAACGGGAACACCAAGTTCCCGTGCCCTGGAAGACGGAAACATGGGTTTCCCGTGCCCTAGAGGACGGAAACCATGAAAAAATTCGAAAAAAAAAACTTTGAAGCTCCCGTTTTCTGGAGCGCGGAAACTCGAAAAAAATTCGAGTTCCCGTGCTCAGCAGAACGGAGGATTCAAGCCGTTTGAATCTCCCGTTCTACAGAGCACGGAAACTTGAATTTTCTTCGAGTTTTTGTGCTCCAGAAAACGGGAGCTTCAAAAAAAAATCGAAATTTGCTAGATCTAATCCTAAACATGTATTTTTACCTAAATTGGAAATAAAACTAATTAAAAGTAGTAGGATATTGAAAATTTACCGGAATCGAGCCTCGTTTGCCATGGTTTCAAAGTCGAAAAAAATTACGAAATTCAAATTTCTAGAGAGAGTTTGGGAATAGGAGAGAGAAATTAAAAAAAAAATTAAATGAAAAAGGTTCCGCTGCAAATAAGCCAATTTCAGTAAAAGTCTCGCTGCAAATAGCAACACCCAACATCAAATTATGAAAAAAAAATAATCTATGAATATAATTCTTACATAGCTTGAGTAATTACAACCATCTTTCATCTATGAATTTTCTTATGTATTTATTCTTATGGTGTCAAATTCAACAGAATTTTTTGAATTTCACATAATGTTTAATAGTTTGTACTCGTTTTGTGCAAAAAAATACTGTTCCTGATGCACCACAATCTGATATTTACAAGTCAAGCGACACATCTTATGATAATCTTATTTTAAAATATGGAGCTCGAAAGGGATAAAACGGGTACAAATTGGAGAATCTTCCACATAATTTAGAAGATTCCATTTTGACACTGCAATAGTAGACGAGTAAGAAGACGCATAGATGAGGGGCCGTTGTGATTACCTAAACATTAGAGGTTTTTTTCCTAATTTAACCTTATCTCAGAGGTCGACATTAACAAATCTTTGGGGTTGCTTTTTCCAATAAACATTGGTATTTAACCTCAATTTAAATTCACCAGATAATATTCTACCATATTGATATAATAATTTCACCACTTCATTGAATGAAAATCATGATCCATTTAATTTTGGATTAGATACACTCTGCACCTCTAAAGTATAGTTTATGTAATAACACTTACCTTCTTGAAGTATTTCAGTGTAACACTTACCTGTTCGAGCAGCATCTAATTTGTATTTGAAATATATTAGCCTAAAATTTCTTCTCTTTTATTGGATGGATTAATTGACAAATAATTCAACAATCTTATTAAAAGTATCTATTGAAAAAAGGTAATATTTTAAGAGGAAAATATTATGAGTAAAATTCATTTAACTTTTAATTTTTTTGCACGAACCCACATCTCAAACTTAATTAGTGAAACTCCATCAATTAAACGTGATAAGACATAAGTATCCTTATTAACAGTTTTATAATAAATCAAATATTTAATCACGATATATTATCATAACCGTTTTCCTTTATTATAGTCGGACGTGATTCTCTGTTGATTTGCAGGGTGATTTCAGTCGATACGGACGCAAGTCAAATTAGATGAGATATAGATCTATTGTCGTCGTTCAACCTTTATGTGTTTGTTGCTGGAGTTAAGCTTTGTGGAGAAGGTCAGAGGCTCTGCTTTATTTTTTTTTGTTTCGTAATTGGTGGATGGATTGTACCGTGTGTGTATTCACATATCGGCGTATGAGTATTCAGAACCAATTTTATTTTTTTTGGGTCGTCCGAATTGGATGCAAAGGATCGATACTGATTTAAAATTTCATAAACAGTCACGTTGTGAGTTGTGACTACTCAGTAAACGTTTTATTTTTTGCGTTAGTTGATATGTTAGTGTAACTTTATTGTAATTTTTTATTGACGTTACTTGATATGTTAGTGTAAGTTTTAATGTGTTTTTATGGCTGAATTGAATTCACAGAATAGTGCAGAGTTTTCAGCAGAATTATTCACATAGTAGTCATATTCGCATGTTTTTGTAGTGCTGCACATCATGTCATCATCCTTGATGATCTTGGTGAAGATATGCCAGGGTGATTTTGTGTATGAAGACATCATTGGCTTTGTCACAAATATGAGACCACCATAGCCGTCTCCAGCTCACTCTCTCTTTCATTCAGCATTGTTGTCGTCGCCTCCCCCTCCCTCCCTTTCGTTATTTTCGATTTTTTTCTTTTCTTTTTCTCTCCAGATCTGAAGCAGCAGCAGTAACGTGACTATAGTCTGGTTCGAATATGACTATTGTTGATTCACTCGATTCGTGATTTATTAATTTCTTGTTTGTTACGCAATCATAAATAACATATATAGTATATGATGATGAGGAAGAGTAGTTCCGATCAATTCTCATAAATTCGAAGAAGGAAGATGCGATTCAAAACCAATACGAGTTTTTTTCACAAAGAATGAGAGGGCCTTCATTGTACAACCAAAGAAGAGGTAGCTAAACTTCTCGGTTTATCATACAGAAGAATGAAACTTTGTTTTATCCGATCACATTCCAAATTAAGTTCGATATTCTGGTTTTTTTTAGATCTATCCACCACCACCACCGTCGCCGCCTCTCTTACTCTCGCTTCCGTTCACCGCCGCCACCGTCGTTGTCGTCAACTCCCCTTCACTCTCTTTCGTTATATATCTATCTCTATTTGTGTATTTTCCGATTTCTCTTTTTTTTTTTTTCCTTCACATCTGAACTAACAACAGTAACATGACTATAGTCATATTCGAATATGACTATTGTTTGAAATGACTGTAGTGATGTAGTCATATTCGAATATGAATATTGTTTTTATGACTGTAGTCATATTCAAATATATTCTATATTCTCGTTTCAAGTTGACTTGTAATAACAACATTCAAATTGTGATTTTTTGTGTGGATGTTGATTGGATTGTTTTCGTAAACAATAGGCAATTTTTCGTTGTTTTATATAAAATTTTGAGAAACCATTTTCATTTGAGGGAGGATTTTATTTGGGTTTACTTGTTGGTTTAGCTGGAACTTCCGCAGTAAGTTTATTTTTAACAATATATGGGTTAGTGGTTAGTCCAAGCCTAAAATAAAATTGTTTTGTAGTCGTTCTCGGGCATTTTCTTCTCTTGATTCGATTACAGGTGCATCCCCCTCATGTTCTTACTTGGATTAGCTGTAGAAAGCCCGCGCGCGACTTCGTGGCTCTTAATACTGAGGGAGCCTTTTGAAAAAGATCTAACCAAGCGACTGGCGGTGGAGTCTTCTGAAATAGCAACGCGCAATGGTTATGTGGCTTCTCATTGAAGCTCGGATCTTGTAATGCTTTTAGACCTGAGCTTTGAGGTCGTTATATTGGCTTACATTATGCTTAGATGAACGGTTGGAGAAAAATTCAGGTGCAGACAGATAATTCAGCAATAGAGACAATTTTTAGATTATGTGGCTCTTCTTCTATGCAGAATAAAGTCTTGATAGTCCGTATTTAAACACTCTTACAAAAAGATTGGGAAGTGTAACTTCTCCACGTATATAGAGAAGCGAATGTCATAGTTGATCATCTTGTAAATTTCGCTTTTGATCAGAATGACAGAGTACTTTGGAACGACAACCCCTGCGAGAGTCAAGCTTCTTTTCTTTGGTGATAATTCCGGCGACTTTTACTTTCGTATGATTGCTTTGTTATTTTCTTTTTCTTCGTAAAAAAAAATTAAAAAAATAGTCCTAGAAATATAAAATATCTCTATGATAATATTAAGTAAAGGAAAGAAATATAGATGTAGGAAATTCCAAACTAGCAGTATATAAAATAAACTTATTAAGACAATGTAACATGCGTTCCCAAGTTTATACAACCCACTACATTTAATCTATATCAATAGAAATGTAAGCATACAAATAGTCATTTTGACAACATGAAGAAACATATGATTACATTCGTTCATAGGCCGGGAAAAAAATGTTGTTACTTCTCTACATGGAGGAGTTTGATACAAATTATTCGACAATGTTATATGATTTCAAAGGCCATTATGAGCTTTTGAATTACTTTCAAAAAACTTGGCTCATTTACAAAGAAATTTTTATACCCGTTTGGACGAATAAAGTGATGCACTTAGGCAATATGACGACAACGATGTATTATCTAAAACCAAAACTGTATAATTTAAAGTTGTTTTCGCATTGATGATGCCTACAACGACATGATGAAAACACAAATACAAGATAGCATTATTTTGGTAATGAAACTTACTTGATAGCACTATGAATAAATTACAGTTTACCCCCGTTGCTTCATAGAATTTCCCAAAACTTGGATGCCATTTCTTCTTAATAAAGTTGTCGAACAACTAAATCTCCCAATATATGTAACTTGGAAAGGGCAGGCACGCTCAACCTTCAATCGACTGTTGAAAATAAACTTGATTTAATGAATACAAATAAATATTGGGCTAAAGAGTGTTTGAAAAATAAAGTTCAAATCCATGTTATGGACCATTGTAGTCCATATTGTAGGATGTAGTCCATTATGCCATATTTTAGAAACATAATCCAGATTTCTCTTATAAAAATATCT